TCAATAATCTAAAGGTATAGCCTTTCCTATGCTAAACCGAAGGTTCTTGCAACCGATTCCCGGCTGCAAGGTTGCGTAATCAATCTATCCTATTGAGAAGTCCAATCCTAGTATGAAACACTTGCCTAAAATGCTACCAAGTTTTCAATGACCATTTAACAACTTACATCAATCAGTTTATAATCCCAATAAAACCAACCATATAAAAACATGTGTTCCATTCAGATTAATAATTTATATTTATATATTTATATATATTTGTAATTTTTTTAGCAATAATCAAAATCAGAAGCAGAAAAGCAATAATATATTTATATATCATACCAAAAAAAAACAAAATGAAACAATAAATCAAAAAACAAATTAATTCAAATAATTGAATATTGAATGAATAAAATAGATTTGTTTTATTACTGTGTGGCATGAAGTTTAAAGAATCAACACACACACACACAGAGAGAGCGCGCGCGCGAAAACAAGACAAGAACATACAACAGAAAAAAACTTGACCTTAAACCTTGGTAAAAAAGAAAAAAGTATTGAACAGAATCAATTACAACAAAACAAATAATTCAAATATGTCTACATTATTAAAAACATACAACACAAGAAAATTACATTAAATTTACACTTGATCATTGAATTGAATGAATGAATGAATGAATCCATTCATTCATTTAATTGAAAGAAAAGAAGAAGCAAAATCAACAAGAACAACATTTGTAAATCATGATTTCTATGATGAATAACCTGATTGGTCGTGAATCGAATAGTAATAATAATAATAATAGTAATAATAAATGATTTTATTGATTAATAGATAAACAGACACACACACATGTACCAAACAAAAGCTTAAATGATCAATTCCAATTGGTAAAGACAAAACTTTAAAGAAAAGAAAAAAAATAGACAGACAAACACAACATCCAAGGTCATTTTGAATTGACTGAGAAATTGAACAAATCAGTGAAAATTCAAAACGGATTGGTAAAGTTCATACAAAAATGACCCAGCGTAAATTAATCATACTGAAAAACCAGAAAAAAAAGTAGTTTTTTTTTAACAAAAAAAACTATCCGATAAATAAATACATATATGTTGATATATAAATTTCTTTTCTTCAACAAATATTATACAGAAAAAATGTATTGAATCACAAAATATTACAATTACAATTCTGTTGGAGGCATTTTCAAATAAATTTTGTTACACTGTTCATTGTGATCATTAGATTTTAAAAAAAAAAGAGTAGAAGAAGAAAAAGAAGAACATGATGCTTTTTTTTTCTAGTAAAAACACAAATTAATTAATTAATTAATGTGAATACATTACAAGCGACATTGGAACATTGAACAATTGAAAACAAGCACGCAAACAATCAGTTTTTTGATGTACATACATTTTTTAGAGAAGCAAAAAAAAACAAAAGTTATCTTTGTATTGTTGAAAGTTTACTGAATAGTAGTCAGTCAATCATTAATGAATAAAATAAATATATCTCCAAATTATAATCGTGAAGATCTATTTTAATAATAATAATAATAATAATAATAATAATAATAATAATAATAATAATAATAATAGTAATCATGTTAGTATAGTGGTGACATGCAATAGTCTATCAATGGAATTGATCAATACAAAAGCACACAAACATGAAACAGAGGACTGACGAGACAACAAAACTGGGTCATACAAATTTTTAAAAAAATCAACAGAAAGACATTTGGCGTATACATTAAATTTGTTGAACAAATTGAACAAGTAATGTATTTATAAATATATATAAGGAAAGATACGAAGAGTAAACAGATACATGTGTACATGTGTGTATGTGTGTGTGTGTGGGCGGGCGGGGTATTTTAAATACTGTTACAATCACCGATATTACACATAACACAACAAGACAACACATTACTATTATTATAGACAAAGGAAAGAACCGGAAATGTGTGCGTGTGTTTGAAGATTGGTATTTGTTACATGTGCGCATTAAACCAATCTAAAATGAGGTATACATATACATATGCTGCATGACATAGATATACTGTTGTTGAACAAAGAGGACTGACACGGTATAACAAATCAATTATTGTATGAATTGAATTTAAGCCAACAGTGTACGTATGTATGTAATGCGAGTATAAGTAAGACAATGTAGTCATCTCACTATTAAATGCATTATTCAAAATGACCATCATTTGAATTTTTGAACAATAACTGATGTGTGTGTGTGTGTGTGCGTATTATACTGGCTTATAGATTGTTTGTAGTCAGTCGACATGCATGTTTAAAAAGTCGTCATCATGGTTACAACATTACTACTTTGACAATTTGGACAAACAAATAAACATTGTTGATTACGTCATCACCATCGCCATCATCATGAAACTTGGAAAAAACATTGGCAGGGATGTTAACAACAAGTTAGACTTAAAACAAAATGACAATCAGTAACAATGTAGACAATATTTATATTTTATAAATGAACATTTTGATGTGTTCTTGTTGAAGTAAACAATGCACTCTCTGCATCCACATCAATATCATTAGTCTGTTGTTCATCATTATTATTAGTATGATCAAATTTTAATTTGATACTATACGATTCCGATGCTGAGGAGACTGATGAGGCTGATAAGGAGGAGTAGGTTGATGGTAAATCCATCGATAAACTGCCAGTTGTTGGTGTTGATGTTGGTGTTGTAGTAGTAGTAGTAGTAGTAGTAGTAGTAGTAGGATTGGATAATTTCAAATGTACATTTAATACATATTGTAAACTTATTGCAACTAATAATGTTGCTAAACTAAATAATATTAATAATAAACAAGCTAGTTGTGTATCAGTAAAACGAAACCAATGTGAATGTGAACGTTTGGTCATATGATGATGATGAGGATGTGATGAGAATGATTGTTTGCATTGATTTTTTGATGAATTCATCATTGTCGACTGTGATGTTGAAGAGAGAATAGTACGACGTTTATCTGATGATACATGATTAGTATTGTTGTGTAATAGTGATGAAGTACTACCGCCAGCGCCGCCACCTGGAGTAATCAAGTGATCTTGTTTCGATAGGTTAGTAGTAGTAGTAGTAGTCCAATTCGATGCATCATGTAGTGTGTAGACATTTTTCGACTTAACATTACTACTCGTACTACTGGTACTACTATTATTACGTAAGATCAGATTTCGAATCAGTTGATAAGGAGAAATGAATATTTTCAATAAACCGTTTGATTGTTTACAATAAGATGAAGAATTGGTTTGTTTGAATAAATGACAATTGGCTGACACTGTCACTGATGCTGAAGACAATGGTAACGATGAGGAGGAGGAGGAGCTTGAGGATGGCGATGACGATGACGATAACACTGAAGATGATGTACAATCGAATTGATTATCTTTTGTAAGACGTGGAGTTGTAAATAGTAGACCAGGTGAAAATGGTCCAGGCAATTCAGTGATTTGATATTGTGAAGAATCTATTTGGGAATTGTTCACCTATGGGGATGAATAGAACAGAATTTTAAAATATCAAAATGTGACGATTGGGAAAAAAGACATGAAAAAGTATGCTACAACACAGACACGACAAATTAACTATTTTTTTACGCGTAGACTATTAAAAAACCTGTCTTTCTGGTTCGCTGACCAAAACTGATTGATTACTGCAAGCGTAAACTTCTTTCAGAAATGCACGACTATGTCGATAGAGTGAAATGTAAAACTAACAAGAAATCGTTATACTAGGACTCATCAAGCTGATGACTGTCAGTGGATAAATCATTGTCATTCAACGGCAGTCATTATATCTACTAATTGTACAAATTAAATGTTATTCGTGCGCGAAAGACCGAATGTCCTAAGTTAGAATCCGGCGAGTATCAGGAGTCATGGATGCGGATTGCTAATGAGCTCCGTACTAGGACGAAACGGCAGTTCAGTACTTTCAAGTTTCTAATGATGGTCTAGCAATGAGTGATTGATGATTTCAATTTGTAAAAATACTGATTTCCATAATATTATTTGTCTGTGTAGAATTCTATGTTTCTGTTAGGATATTCACCAAATATCCTAAGAGTACTATTTTCGGAAGTATAATCCTATTGGTCGAAATTATGGTCATTTTAACTGTCAAAGTCAAATACTTCAATGTTGTCTCTGATTGGTCTTCCGGACTGTCAATGTCATCTCAAATGTTCTTTCCTATTGGCCGTCCTAAACTGTCAATGTCACAGACTTTGATGCTTTTCCTATTCGACCTTAATGTATAAATACGCACTATCTGTAAGCCTTCAGGATTCGGATTCCAATTCCGTTTCTCCTGCCTACCTCTCTTCTGTATTCGACCCAATAAACAACTCCATCCCACAGTGTTGCGTTCAGATATCTAGGAGATTTGAAAATAGCATTTTGGAACGTTTTGGAATATTTGAATTGGACGCCGTTAGGACTGAAGAGCTATACGTAGCAGCGTTACAACAGTTTCTAAAGTGCTTCTTATTTTATTTCCCATCATTGACCTAATCATTAAGCAAGTCTACAGGTTAAGCGTCCGTGCGTGAGACCGAAGGTTCGATTTCCGTGAGTGTGGGTAGTGAATGCACAGTGCTGGTGAGTCCCGTGCATGCTTTTTATGTAAACAGTACAGTAAATATGATTTAGTATAGAAGTCAAGTCACAAACAGTGCACGCTCGTGTAATGTAGGTTGCATCTGAAATGAAAATTACACATTAACTGAATTGCATATGATTCAAGCTAAAGTCAAAGGTGTTTGCAGTATCGTTCCAAATCATCCATTCAGTTTTTCTTCAATGAAATAATATACCAACATCATACATATATTTGGATATTCGTTGGATTTTTTTATGAAGATAAATCATTTCTTTTTTAATGAACTACGTTCTGATTGGTTGGTTGATAAAACAGAGTGAGATTCCACAAGGTCAGACACTATCAACGACAATCTACTATGGGAGAGAACAAACCAGATTCCAGTGGAGGAGGAAATCAGGACGAAGCGCTGGAAGTAGATAGGATACACACATTGAAGAAAGTACCCATCTGCATCATAAGACAAGCCCGAACTTGGAACCCTCATGGTCAAAGGAGAAGAGGAAGACCAAAGAACACATTACGCTGAGAAACGAAGACTGACATGAGAAGAATGAACAAAGTTTGCACAGAACTTAAAAGGGGGGCAGGACAAAGTATGTTGAAGAATACTGGTCGTCGGCCTATGCTCCATTATTATAGGTAACAGCCATAAGTAAATAAGTAAGTATTTTACAACTGCTCAATCTCACTGTTTAAGTAGTATATAACTACACTTGAAATATTTCAAACCTTTATAATTGTTGTTTTTTCTTTCTTTTACACAGGCTAATCCACAATCAATTCAACTTATCAATTGGGAAATGATTCATTCATTCAAAAATTGATAGACTGTTTACTTTGACATTTTATTTATTTAGAAACAAAAACTAAGTATTCAGATAACATAAACATGGTTGTCATTATTATTATTATCATTGTTTGAAACTAATGACAAACAAATCAGGAATATAGTTTTTTTATACATTTGAAATCATCAATCAATCATTGTTAGACCATTGTTAGAAACCTGGAAGCACTAAAAGATGGCCGTTTTGTCCTCGTAAGGAACTGACTCATCAGCTGTGCGCACCTACGACTCCTGCACCTACCAGGATTCGAACCCGGGACATTCGGTATTGTGCGCGAACGCCTAACCATAGTTCTTCCTAACTTTCATACTGATAGCACTATAGATACCTTAATAGCATGACTAATAGACTAGTTCTTTAGGGCACATCGGAAAACTTTGAAAAGCTAGTTACATTTAAGTTTGTTACGCATTGATTGTTGAAATTTCAATGATTATTTTATTTTTATTCTTATTTTAAAACTTTTCATTGTGGAGTTATAGAGATGGTTGTTTATTACTGAAATCATGTGAATCAATCAATCATTGTTAGAGGTTAGGCATTCGTTTACAACATCAAAAAAGGTACTGGGGTTCGAATCCTGCGAGTAGCAGGAGTTGTGGATGAGCACTACTGATGAGTCAGTCCCATAACAGGACGAAACGGCCGTCTTCCAGTGTTTCCAGGTTTCTAATGGTGTTCTAACAATGATTGATTGATGATTTCAGTAATAGTTATTTTATAGTAGTTGTCTCATGCTCATGAAAATACTATGCGAAACAGTAGTGTTAAACTACATATATTTGTAAAAGTAGATTAAGAGGATAGACCAATAAGAATCGAGAATGTAACGTCGAGGCTTTTGCACCAATGTCAAATATCACCACTTATCAGAAGTAGAAATAACATTTCATACTGTTCGAAATATTTTACATGATGACGAAAAAATTATTCATTGCAACCCTAGGATAAAAACAATAGTGCTGAATGTATCAAATATTCAACTCTGCCTTTGTTACTCAAATTAGTAAGAGGATCATTATGGCAATCCTGAAATCCTAACCTATAATCCTGAACCAAACATTAACTTGTTCGTATCATTTGCTGTGGATGAACTAATCAGACAGCAACTCTTGCATTTTTGCATTAAATTCATCAATCCATTTCTCCACAGAGCATTTTCGTATTAAAGCTGATGTCACTTTGTGATGGAAATCATTACTCTATGCCTCTAGTCCTTACTCCAAATATCTGACCCTAACCAAACACATTGTACGGACTTAAACATTCATCTGGGTCGTTTTACGAACTAGAGCAAAAATGGATAATGCACATCCATCCATGTCGACGGTTACAGACCTTGAAATCGTTTGTAATGACGCAGTTGCATCAACTCTTTGTGTTCTCTGAAATTCTAGTCTTCTGAATTCCTCATTACCTCAACCTTTCTGTATCTAAATATGTCTCTCACTGAATTATACTGCTCAAATAATTTGTTCGCTCCCTAATCTCTCCGATTACTGCGAATACTTTTACTACATCTATTACTATGGGATTTGAATTGACAAGTAGATCTCTATGCTAATATAGTATGGCAACATGAACTGATGTATATACGTACGAAATTCAACGTTGTAACTAACTGACTGATCCATATGAATGAGTTTTCATGTCACTGTGCACTATAGTTTACAAACTGATTAACCTGTAGTAGACTTTAGTCAGTGAATCAAATCTACTAACAGTCAGTCAGTCAGTTGCAACGTAGAACTTCGTACGTATGTACATAAGTTCATGTTGCCATACCACATTAGCACAGAGACTCAAATGTCAAATCAAATCCCATAGTGATAAAGATAGTAGAGGTATTAATGGTAATGAAGAAGACTAGGGTTTGAAGATATTATTCAAGAAGTATAATTCAGTGAGATAAGGTTAGAAAGACAAAGGTACAGGAGCTGACGATTCCAGAAGATTAGGATTTGAGAGAGCACAAAGAGTGGATGCACTTGCGCTACTGCAAACGATTTTGAGCCATGTCATTCAAGGTCCCTAACCATCGTTGACTTTCGTCTCGCGGACCCCAACCAGGTAGCCTACATCTACCAGCATGACTCAGTCCACTTGTCAGTGACTTCATGGATTTCTGCCATGTTTTGGTCTGGCCGCCCCTAACTTTCTTCCAACCTACTCCTACACCACAAAACATAGCTCGTCGAGGCAGTCGGTGGTTAGGCATTCGTAACACATGTCTCAACCACCTCAACTGATGAAGTTTCACCACTTCATCTATTGATCTGCCATTCTTACCTAGCACCCGTTTCCTAACGACAGCATTTCTTACTCGGTTGTCCCACGATATACGATCAATGCTTCGGAGACACCTATGAACAAAAACCAGTAACCTACAAATATCTTCTACTCTTATTGACTATGTTTCACAGCAATAAAGTAGGACCGAGCAAACTGCTGTGCAGTAAACTCATCCTTTGGTTACCGAACGGAAATCACACCTACGCTATAAGTGACGCAACTTTGCAAATGCCAATCGAATATTCTGTATCCTTGCTGAGATTTCGTCAGACATCAGTCTATCAGCACTGATGAGACTCCCATGATAAGTGAAGTGATCAACACGCTCGACTACTTCACTCCCAATCACTAGTTCAGGTACCGATGCAACCCAGTCTTGAAGCAACATTATGCATTTCGAGGGTGAGAACCGCATCCTGACACATGCTTGCATTGTTGCTTATGGTAGTCAGAAGACTCTGCATTTTGTCAGCATCTTCACCGAATAGAACTATGTCATCGGGCCTATTCTAGATCAGTAAACGAATGTCCTGGTCAACACCTGAAAAATCTAACGAGCTTAATATTAACTCTAAGAGGATGTCTACGACAAATCTTCTAACACTTTGTAATAATATCTTAATTGTTGTCCTGTTTCTATATATATCTATATTTGCGCATTAGCTGCTTTCTGATTGGTTCAGAATTGTCTAAAAATTCATCACAGTTGCATGAAACTCATCCCTATCTATACTTACACTATACTATACTAGCTAGCTATCTCTTATAAATGATCGGTTTATTGTTGTTTCGTATTTATAAGATGTGTTATTATTATTATTATTATTATTATTATTATCAGTATGATTAAGGTTATTTGCATATCAATCATTGAATAATGTTATAATATTTTTAGGAAATTTTCTTATTTTTATCATTCATTATCATTTGGTTGTATTTATTCTATCCTTAACAATGTGTTTATAGATATATTGCTGGTTATATATCAAAAAATAAAACGATATGCCTATTTTTCGTGCAAACACTACTGCTACTACTACTCCTACTGCTACATAAACTAACTGTTTAACAACAACAACAACAAAACATAATAACAATCAATTCTGGCAATGAATGATATTTACAAGGTGAATTGAAATTTTAATTAATCGAACGAATTGATGGATATTTCTATTTTTGTTTTTAGGATTAGGAAATAATAATAACAATTAAAAAAATAATTTACATTATGGGGTTGTGAAGATTGTGAAGTTACATGAATCGATCAATGTTAGACCACTATTAGAAGAAACCTAGAAATACTAAGAGACGGCAGTTTCGTCTTGGTATGTGACTCATCAGTGACAGTGCGCATCCATGACTCCTGGTATCTAACGGTGTTAGATGTCTAACTTGATCAATTCACGGAGTTGCGCAACCTCATACACAGTCTTCGGTAGTTACTGTCTACACCCGAACAGGTTGAACTTCACTGGTCACGTCTTCCCACTAGAACTCGGAGAAGATTCCTCACGAAGCTAGTCACTAGTGAGCACAGGTAATTGCATTACGGGATTGTGAAGATTGAGTAAGTTACACATTTGGAAACAATGAATCGATCAATGTTAGACCACTATTAGAAGAAACCTAGAAATACTAAGAGACGGCAGTTTCGTCTTGGTATGTGACTCATCAGTGACAGTGCATATCCACGACTCCTGCACCCCCCGCACGATTCGAATCCGGGACTATTTTAGTCTTGTGCGCGAACGCCTAACCTCCGGATCACTGAGCCGGTATTTAACTTGATGAGTCCAATACCAGAACGAAACGGTCGTCCAGTGCTTCCAGGTTTCTTCTAATGGTGTGAGTCTAACATTGACCATCGATTCATGGTTTGAAAAAATGTGTAATTAAAAATAAACAATTTATTGGTGTTTATTTATTTTGTAATTTTTCGACTAGCATTAGAAACTTGGGAGCATTGAAAAGATGGACGTTTCGTCTTGCCTGGTATGGGATTCATCAGTGGCAGTGAGTGTACACGACTCCTGTGAGTGGAAGGAGTCGAATGCAGGGCCTTTGGTTTTGTGCACGAACACCTAACCTCTGGACCACTGAGCGGGTAACTAACGGTGTTAGAGTCTAACTTCGATCGATCTACCACGATGTCTTGCGCAACCTCATCCATTGTCTTCAGTGAGCTTTCAGGTTTCTAATGATGGTCTAACATTGATCATCGATTCATGATTTCAAAGTAAGTCAATAATTTCTACAATCGTATAATGTATATTGCGATTTTTCTTAACTATTCACTGATTTGTTTTTACGCTTGTTGATTTTTTACCATTCTATTGGAAAGATATAATTTTGATCGATAAGCGCATTGTTTTGTAGTTCATAGCATAAGATAGTGGAAATCAGAAGGTACTATATATATATATATATATATATATATATATATATATATATATATATATATATATATTTATATATATATAGGTTTTTATTTATAGTAGGTAATTTTTCAGATGTGCATGACTGCGACCCTAACTGGAGATTGAATTTGTAATAATTAGCTTGTAGGCTACTACTGAGCGGTTAGTAAATACTTTGTCATGCGTCTAACTTCAATTCAATTCATGAACTCTCTATAGTGTAATGGATATGGACTGCTCAGGAGTCTTACACCAGAATGAAACATCTATCCAGTGTTTTCTGGTTTCAAATAGTTGTTTACTTAAGATTGGTCTATGATGTATATATTGTAAGACATAAATTCAATCTTATGAGTAAAAACAATAATCTCCATAAATCTAATTGCGAAATTGTAAAATTTGCTTACTAGTGACTAGGGATTTCTCGGAGTTCTAGTGAGATGACGTGACCAGTGGAGTTCAACCCTGTTGGGTGTAGGCAGTAATTACCAAAGACAAATCGGTGAGGTCGCGTAAAAATCCCTCGATCAATCAGAGTTGGACATTAACACCGTCGGATGCTGACCCAGTAGTTCAGAGGTTAGGCGTTCGCGCACAATACCGAGAGTCCCGGGTCCGAATCCTGCGAGGTGCAGGAGTAGTGGGTGCGTACTACTGATGAGTCCCATACCAGGACGAAACGGCTGTCTCTCAGTGCTTCCAGGTTTCTAATGGTGGTCTGACATTGATCGACTTATGATTTCAAATGTATGAATTCAATCGATTTACTATTTTGTGGAAGTTTCAAATGTATATTCAATTTATAGTCGTTAATTTCAACAGGAACAGGATATGTGTATGAGGACAATGGAAACAGTAATATGATGATTATGATTACATGACTACATTATCCAAGTTGGCATTTTGCATAATGAACAGATTGAGAATTCATAACAGTCGAAATGATCATTACAAACTGTAACTGTTATTCTCTGAAAGATGCCTGATTTTATACTACTACTATTGTGGTGTGTGCTACTTATACGAACGATATAAGTAGTATAAGAAGGGACGTGAAAGAAGAAGTCTCACGGTCAGAAGAGGAAAACGGAAAGCAAATGGAGCAAAAGCAAGAAGTAAATGGAGTAGTACCAACAGGAAGGAAAGGAAACAACAACAGGAATGGAAGAAGGATGGAGTGTTGGAAGTCACGACTCAAAGATGGTGTGCAAATAGAGTGTTCAATGTAATGTTTTCGTTTTTAATTGACTCAGAGTGTAAATTTGCACAATACAATCTTCCTCACCTGCCTCAGTCTTCTCACTATTACTAAACCTGTGGGTTGTAAATCTAGTTACAACCAACAAGTACAAAAAATCGTATAAAATAAAATAGTGAAATCGATTATTATAATGATAACGATAATCAGAAAGAATCAAACCAATTTTGTGTTGTTGTATTTACCTTAGATTGATCTTGTTCAGATGTAGTAGTAGTAGAGGTAGTAGTAGTAGTAGTACTAGTACTAGTGCTACTGTTACTACTACTATGAATAACCGGTAATTTCGTAGTTGGTTGACACAATCGAACAGCACATACTCGGCAAACATATTCTGAGCCTGGATTTAAACCTGTGATACGACAAGCGGTTTGATTACCTCTGTAAACCTGTTGAATGGGAATGTGGGAAAAAAACGATGAAAAAAGTAATGATAACAATAATACGATTTTTAATTAGAGTTATGGAGATTAGTGTTTCTTGCGCATTCAAATCATCAATCAACCAATGTGAGACCACCATTATAGACACCTGGAAGCACTGGACGGCCGTTCCGTCCAGGTATGGGACTCATCAGTAGTGCACATCTACGACTACTGAACCTCGCCGGGACCTTCGGTCTTGCGAGCAAGCGCCTTGCGTAATTAAACTGGATTAATCATTTAGTTATACGTAGTCAGTCAATCAGTCAGTCAACAAAAACATACAACTAAGTACGTACGCACATCAGTTTAAGTCGCCACTACATATTAGAACAGAGAGACAGAAATGTCAACTGAAATTCCATAGTTGTAGAGGTAGTAGCAATATTGGCAATAATCGGAAACATTAAGGATGGAAGATATGATTCGACAAGGTTTAAACCAGTGAAATAAATTTAAAAAAAAGGAAAGGGATCATGAGGACTTATGAATTTAGGGGGAAGACAAAGAATGGATTTTGAACTATGTGATTCAAAGTCTTTAACTACTCGACTCCAGCCAGGCAGTCTTCACCTACCAATATGGCTCAGTCCAGTTGTCAGTGACTTCATGGATTTGTGCCATGTTTTGGTCTGGTCGCCCCCAGTTTTATTCTAGCATACTTCTAAACTAAACAGCCTCGCTCATAGGGGTAGTTGGTTGTTGGACATATGTAACACATGTCCCAACCACCTTAGTTGTGGTGAACTGAATTTGCGTAATCTAGTTTCTAATTACGAACGATTATAAAAACTTTTAACACACAGCAGGACCTATGGAAACCAAATAGACTAGAATTCTAAGGCACAACACTTTAACGATTATCCACGAATGAACCAGGAGTGAAGTCTTTCAAGGAGAACGTATTTGGCAAGACCTTAGAAAAATTGGATTCTATTCACGTTAATTCAGTTACATATCGATTGTTCAATGCGTGATTAACTTACACGATTTATCAGACCGAGTAGCTGTCAATTTGGAGAAAAAAAGTACAGTGAATTTAAGAGAATACAATGAAACTGTCTTGAAATCGACTAGCTGCATATTGAACAAAGTCAGCATCCTCAAACACCACACATCAACACAACAAGACAAAATGATCAAAATAAACATCAGATTAGTAGTAGTATCAGCGATAGACTAGATATAGAGAACGAGATTCAGAAAAAAAATGAATGAATTCACAGAACAAAAAGAATAAAATAATTTTAAATAGTCAAGATCTAAGAGAAGACAAAGAGGGAATTCAGCTTTACTACTGAATAATTCTCAGACTGTTATACAATATCTTCAACTACTTATCATAATAATCTTATGGAGTCCGATCAGGTAGTCTGCACTTAACAATATGGCTCAGTACAACAGTCAGTGGACTTCATGAACTGATGTCATATATTGGTTTGGTCACTCCTAGCCCTCTTTAAAGGTATTCTTACTAAAGCTAATGTTAAGTAAGTAGACAGTTATGGAGATGAGTAAAAAATGTCTCAGCTACTCTTTAGCCGATAATGATTCACAATTTTATTGACTGATTTGCTATTTTTACTTAGTACCATAAGTCTAAACTTCAGCAATGTTCACTTGATGGTTTAAATATGCAAAGCAATACTTCACAGGTATCTGTGGTCACGTGTAAATAGAACTGTGTATATTCTGAGGTGAAGTTATTCTTATCGAACATGATAACCGATTGAAGTACTATTTTTTTAAAAAAACTGATAACTATGGCATCAAGTCGAAATGTCAATAAAAATGAACAGTTTGCAGAGATTTATCGTATCAAGTGCTAGTAATGTGTTTTCATCCTGACTTCAATGTAGAAAACACAACAAAAGAGAAGAATTGATTAGCGATTGGTTATTAGTATGTGTGCAGTCTTGTGAATGCATTGATTGCGAATGCGAGAATGTATGGGATATATGTCTCCATATCCAAGTGTTTCGAATAAGATTTTCTGTTAGAGCTTTGGAGATTTGTGTTTTTACACATTTGAAATCATCAATCAATCATTGTTAGACCACCACTAAAAGCCTGGAAGCTCTGAGAGACAGCCGTTTCATCCTAATATGAAACTGGGACGTGCGCCATCGCAAACGATTTTGAAACATGTCATTCAGGGTCTCTAACCATCAATTATCATCATCTCGCGGACCCCGACCAGGTAGTCCACACTTACCGATATGACTCAGTCCACTTCATGGGATTGTGTCATATTTTGGTCTGACCGCCAATAGCTTTCTTCCAACCTAATCCTACATCACAAAATATAGCTCATCGAGGTAGTCGGTGGTTGGACATACGTAACACTGTGCCAACCAGCTCGATTGACGAAGTTTCAATACTTCATCTAATGATTTGCTATCCTTACCTAGTACTCGTTTCCAAACGACAGCATTGCTTACTCGGTAGCCCCTGGATACACAAGTAATGCTTCTAAGACATCTTTAATCGAATACTAATAACCTTCAAATATCCTAAACTCGTACCGGCCATGTCAAACTATACTTTTAATCTACTGATAAACTTAGAGAAGTGAATGAATTGAGTTTCACATCAGTCCGTGATGTAATCTGTGGAATCCAACATACTTGACAAAACCCCTATACTAGTGAAATCAATTTGATTATCTAAATAGAAAAACACCGCCTGAAGCCCTTTTGGCGTAACTGCCGGTCCCAAGCCCGGATAAAGGAGGAGAGATGTGCATGGGATTTGTGACCCCCTTCTCACAACCAGGGTAACCATTAATACAGGTAAATGGAATGCTCGTAAATTGCGGGAGATCGGGAGATCTTTTGAAAGTAAACATGTAAAGAATGGAAAGCAACTGGATGAAACTGGAAAGGAAGACCCAGTACAGAGAAGTTCGAGAATGCTGGTTGACGACCTATGCTCTATTAGGGGTGACAGGCTGAAGTAAGTAAGTAATCTAAATAGGAAAGATTTTAATGTAACTGTGTATTGGGCATAATATAAATAAGGTAACCTGCTCATATTTAAAGCGCTGGAAGTCGAGAGGACAAAACATTGCGGAAATCACCCAACTGCATCACGAGGTTAACCCTCAAGACCAAAGAATACATTACGCTGAGAATCGGAAGTAGACATCAAAAGAATGAACACCGATTGGATAGAACCGGAAAGAAAGGCCTATGACAGAGTAGGTTGGTCGGCTGCCTATGCTCCATTTGGGGATAACAGGCGTAAGTAAGGGATATACTTCCTGAATCGTACCTTCGATCCCTAAACTTTTCGATTACAGCCAATACTTCTATTTCCTCTATTACTATGGGATTTGAATCGACAATTCGATCTCTCTATGCTAATGTGGTATGAAAACTGATGTGCGTATGTACGAAGTTCTACGTCGTTGCTGACTGAATGACTGATTGATACAAAATCTCATTGACCACATTCGTGTTAAATCACATGTAATTATAGAATATCGATGTTAAGCTTTTGGATGTAGTCGGCAGGAAATACTAGGACACAAGTTTCTGATTTCTTAACGATCAATGGCAAGGCATCTCTCTGTAGTATTGACAGTACTAGTGCCCTCCATGAAATTCGAACTCGTTCGACTCTGTTTTGTAGTTTGTATTGGTGCCATTGAGCTGTTCGAGTCATGACTGACATCTAGTAAGGCATATATATATTTATATCGACAGATATCTGAAGACTGACTTATATCATGTTTTTGTTTAGTCTTTCACTGCCTGTCGAATGCTATCCATCAATTGGGAATGTGGTTACTAGTTTAAGTGACTCCATACTAAGTACAATTCATTTTTAGTGTCAGGTTGTTCGAACCTGGAGTTTTCATCCAGGTATTTTCAATTTTTAAAAGTTTATTAGTTAGACTGACCACCAGAGTTATATAAGTTGTATTGTTTACATAATTGTAATACAGGTCAAAATGTCAACTAAACACAAAATGTTCAACAACATAAGAAAAACAAGTACATACACACACACACACACTAAATACTACAAAACGATATTTAATATCATTGAGGGGTTGTTGTGAAGATTGTTAAGTTACACATTTTTTGAAACCATGAATCGATCAATGTTAGACCACCATTAGAAACCTGGAAGCACTGAAAGACGGCCGTTTCGTCCTGGGATGGGACTCATCAGCAGTGCGCATCCACGACTCCTGCACCCGCAGGATTCGAACCCAGGACCTTCGGTATTGTGCGCGAACACCCTAACCGTTAGACCACTGAGCCGGTGTCTAACGGTGTTAATGTCTAACTTGATCAATTCACGGAGTTGCGCAACCTCATACCCTGTATACATCCGAACAGGTTTGAACTTCACTGGTCACGACTTCCCACTAGAACTCGGAGAAGATTCCTCACCAAGCTAGTCACTAGTGGACACATGTAATGTCCCATACCAGGACGAAACGGCCGTCCAGTGCTTCCAGGTTTCTAATGGTGGTCTAACATTGATCGATTCATGGTTACAAATAAAAATATTCAATATCATTATGATGATAATCGAAGTGTTGTCAGTTTGTGCAAAACTCTCAACAATCTACGAATTCATTTTAAGTCAACCAGTAGAATTTATGGTGATTTCAATTTAATTGACAATGAAATAATTGATAAATATAAAGAATAGTGTTAGATGTTCTTAAAAAATCACAAGAAGTGATTTTTAAAAGGGTTTTGTACCAGCTTGTTGAATTTTATAGCATCCATTAAGGATGGATTATAATCGTTAGATACCGACTCAATGGTCCGCAGGTTATTAGGCGTTCACGCGCAAGATCGAAGGTCCCGGGTTCGAATCCTGTGGCGTGCAGGAGTCATGGATGCGCACTGTTGATGAGTCCCATATCAGAACGAAACGACTGTCTTTCGGTGCTTCCAGGTTTCTAATGGTGGTCTAACATTGATTGATTCATGATTTCGATAAGATAAGAAAGTATTGAACAGTTGTTTTACGCTAGTATGAGACTACACAGTAGTACACATTTATGATTTCACCAGGGATCCTATACAAAATGTTCAGATCTCGAGGTGAAATACCATGAACTAGACATCCAACAGGTTAACATTATTCATCTCAATGATTTCGTAATATATTGTTCAAGCATCGCAACATTTACCTAGAATCTGTCAAAACTCTACACTGAATAAATACTTTCTAATTTCTGTTATCATCGGACCAATCAGATAAATGAACACTGTTTGTTGTGGCTCCGGCTTTCTAATGTCGTTTAAAGGTTGGATATTTATAGGGATATTTTGAAGCATCAAAGCAGAACAAACCAGATCAAACTTTAAAAACGGACAAACCCAGAATGAAATAGTGTCAGTCAGTCAGATGCAACATAGAACTTCGTACGTAAGTACATCAGTTCATGTTGCCATACCACATCAGCACAGAGATGTAATTGTCAATTCAAATCCAATAGTAGTAGAGGAAGTAGAAGTAATAGGAGAGGTTAGGATTAGAAGATATTATTCAAGAACTATGATTCAGTGAGAAAAGTTTAGAAAGACAAAACTAGAAGGGTAGAAGAATCCAGAAGATTAGGATTTGAGAGAACACAAAGAATAAATGCACCGGCGCCATTGCAAACGGTTTTCAGCCATGTCATTCAAGGTCTCTAACCATCGATCATTACCATCTCGCGGACTCCAACCAGGTAGTCGACAATTACCTGGTGTAGTGTAAGCATACAGAGTGTATAGAAATGATATGAATAAACCTACTAAATGTAAAATACCACCCTTACCTGATTCAAATTAGTTGATTGTGGTGTACTGGCGGCTGTGACTGGGAGTAAATGCAATAAATAAATAATTGGATCCATGCCTAGTTGATTGACTGGAGTCCATTCCAGTTGACAACGATCCGCATTTAATTCAAGAATTTTCAAACCTATTTATCAAAAAAAAAAAAAAATAAACGATAAAAATTGTAATTAAAAGCAAAATGACTTTTTTTCGCCAACCTTGATAGTGTTTGATCGTATAATTTTCAACATGAATTGATGGAGGTTGAAGGAGGGTCAACAAAGGTTCTGTGCTATTTAGCACTCAATAGCAAACTGTACCTATAATCTTGAGAGAGAGATGATTCTCCCTGGAGGATTCGATCTTGTGTCAGCTTATTTTACAGTCAGTGACATTACTATTGAGATATTTAATGACGACCGATTTATTTCTCAATAATATATTGCACAAGATATCGAGTCACTTAGGCTAGTAGTGGTTACGTTGCAACACGGGCTTGATATAAATGTCATACTTGATAGTATAAGTTTTGAATAGTTTGAACTAAATGTGTCATGGCGAAGTGAATCAATACGTTTTAGGGTGTCGTTAGGCTGAGAAAGGTTACTAAGGCTTGACAAATAGGACTACTGGCTTTAAGGATATAGAATGTATGGCAGGGACTTACTAGTCAAAATAAGTACTCAAGAACATTTCGATACGGATCACCGATGGTCTTAATACAATGGTAGACAATGGATTTGTGCCCTCCTGAGACGTTCACATTTCATTCAATTGCGCAATATCAGAAGAAGAAAAATCCAAGTCTGTGACAGTGATGAGTTAATATTCAAGAGAACTACTACACTTCAACTACTCTTATAAACTACACTTTTTAAATTACAACGAAACAGGGATTAAATAATTTTTAATGAATGATGAATCCAATGGGATTATTCCAAGCTATGTAGCATTATAAATCCAAGTCTGTGATAACAGATATTTCATCTTCAGGTCAGGTCAGTTACAACATTGAACTTCGTACGAACGTACATAAGTTCATGTTACCATCTCACATTAGCACAGAGAGATGCAATTGTCAGTTCAAATCCAATAGTAGTAGAGATAGTAAAAGTATAAATGGTAATGGAGAACATCTGGTTTTGAAGAGATTATTCAAGTAGAATTCGGTGATATAACTTTAGAAAGAGAAAGATAGAGGTGATGACGAATTCAGAAGATTAGAATTTCATCGAACACAAAGAGTGGATGCACCTGCGCCATTGCAAACGATTTTGAGTCATGTCATTCAAGATCTCTAACCATCGGTTACTGTTGTCCCGCAGACCCCAACTAAGTAGTCGATACCTACCAGCATGATTCAGTCCATTTGTCATTGACTTCATAGATTTCAGCCATGTTTTGGTCTGACCGCCAATAACTTTCTTCCATCCTACTCTTACACCACAAAACATAGCTCATCGAGACAGTCAGCGATATTTCACCTTACTACTTACTAACCAATAACATAAAATATTATTTTTTCTAATTGATCTGTTTTCTATCATCATGTCTTAAGCTGATCAAACGCCACTGATCAAATAGGAGGTGTAAGTGATATAACACACATAGAATTGTTAATTTCATTCTTTTTTATGATTGTAAATTACATACTACATCATCTACGTAAACTTTATTTCAGATAAACTATCAGTCAGAAAAGTGAGTGTTATTGAAAAGAAAAAAAATACTGTTTACATTATTGGAAAGAATCAGATAAGAATTTATTTACAATGGATAGTTAACATTTAACAAAATTATTTTTTTTTAAGAAAAAAATATATACATAATGCGATAAACAAACAAACATCATGTGACATGGTCAAACTGAAAGCCACCTCTTTATTACCTACAGAGTAGTGGCATTGAAGTAAGCTTAAATAATGTCTGTGTACATTAAGTTAGACATTAACACTGTTAGATACCGGCTCAGTGGTCCAGGGGTTAGGTGTTCGCGCACAAGATCGAAGGTCCTGGGTTCGAATCCTGTGAGGTGCAGGAGTTGGGGATGCACACTGCTAATGAGTCCAGGACGAAACAGTCATCCACTGATTCCAAATTTGTAATGGTGATCTCATATTGGTCGATTCATGATTTCAATAAGTAATTCAACAATCTTCACAAACCCATAATGGGAAAACACTAAATGTTGGAACTGAGGATATATGTTTCTGCACAGAGAACTTATGTATCGATCATTGGCAGACCACTATTAGTAACCTGGAAACACTGGACGGTCGCTTTGTCCTTAAATGGGGACTCATCGGTAGTGCGCATCCACGACTCCTACTACTCACAGGATTCGGACCCAGGACCTTTGGTCTTATGCACAAACGCCTAACCTCCGGACCACTGGACTGACATCCAATGGTTTAATCTCGAACTCTGATCAATCTAGGGGTTTTGCGTGACCTCACCTATTTGTTTTCGGTAGCCGTTGCCTACACTCGGTTAAACTCCGCTGGTCACGTCACATATTTTACTTAATTCGGAATAGATGTACACCACCTACATATCTGTGTTCATAGGCGTGCTAAACTTCGAGTCTGGTTAAAAGTCGCTTCAAACATCAACGCTTCATTTAGTAAATTACTCAGTCACAATAAGCATATAAAAACTTATTCATGGGGGCACTATTTACGTGGTGCCATTGACGAGCAAGGTGGATCTGATGCAGATGTGAAGGCATGGATTGGAAAAGCAAGGGCTGCATTTCTACAATTGAACAACATCTGGAACTCAAAACAAATATCAACCAACACCAAAGTCACAATTTTCAATACCAATGTCAAGACAGTTCTACTGTATGGGGTGAATACTTGGAGAACTACTACGAAAGCCATCATCAACAGGATAGAAGTATTTATTAACAATGGTCTATGCAAAATACTTCGGATCCATTGGCCAGAGATCATCAGCAACAACGAACTGTGTAAGAGAAAGACCCAGATTCCAATGGAGGAGGAAATCAGGAAGAAGCGGTGGAAGTGTATAAGAAATACATTGTGAAAAGCACCTAACTGCTTCACAAGACAAGCCCTCACACGGATCCCTCAAGGTCGAAGCAAAAGAAGAAGACCAAGGAACACATTACACTGAGAAATGGAGACAGAAATGAGAGGAATGAACAAACATTGGACAGAATTTGAAAGGAAGGTCCAGGACAGAATGGGTTGGAGAATACTGGTCAGTGGCCTATGTTCTGTTGGGGGGTAACGGGTTTAAGTAAATACGTACAAGTAGTATTCAGCATTATGATTACAGGGCTTCATATTTCCTTGCTTTTCACACAGTATTTGTTTATAAATGGGCTTTTTAAGCGGATCTATTCTCATATTATTTGTAACTATCAGTTGATTATAGTTTAGACGGAAGCTAGTATAGAAATCTGGGACATGTGTTCGACGAGAGACTGGAGAGATGACTTTAATTGTATTCTAGTGTTGTTAGCCATTACCAAATAAAACATACTGACATTATAACTAGAAACAATGCAGAGTTGATGGCCCAAAGAACTAATATACACCAAACAAACATTGATCAAACATGATCTTCAATATTAACAATAAGAAAATCTTCAATGTTTATGCATCAATTAAAGTTTCACATGATATTTTTTCTTCTCCCTATCAACATACTTACCTCGTACAGCTGGTGGTGATGCTTTCTGTGTACGTATTGTTTGAATATCACTATACAATCCACTACCTGTTGTATTTGTAGCACATACACGAAAATGATAAATTGTAAATTCTGATAAACGATTCACTTTATGCATAGTTGATTGTCCTTCATAAATTGTTATCCAACTATTTAAATGAAATTGAAAAAGAACAATAATTAAATTTTTATTGATTTACAGCTTATGATTGTCATTAGATTGATATATTCGTAGGTTATTGGTTTTCGATCATAGGTGTCTTCGAAGCATTGCTCGTATATCCTGGGACACCCGAGTGAGCAACGCTGTCGTTAGGAAACGGGTGCTAGGTAAGAATGGCGGATCAATAGATGAAGTATTGAAACTTCATCAGTTGAGGTGGTTGGGACATGTGTTGCGTATGCCCAACCACCGACTGCCTCGTCGAGCTATGTTTTGTAGTGTAGGAGTAGGTTGGAAGAAAGTTAAGGGCGGCTAGACCAAAACATGGCAGAAATCCATGAAGTCATTGGCAAGTAGACTTAACCATGTTGTTAGTTGTCGATTACCTGGCTGAGGTCCGCTAGATGATAATAACCGATGGCTCAAAATTGTTCTCAATGGCGCCGGTGCATTTATTCTTTTTGTTCTCTCAAATCCTAATCTTCTGGATTCTTCAACACCTCTAGTTTTGACTTTCTAAACTTTTCTCACTGAATCATACTTCTTGAATAGAATCTTCTAATCTTAACCTCTCCGATTACTTCTAATACCTTTACTAGCTCTTCTACCATTGGATTTGAATTGGCAATTAAATCTCTGTACTGATAAGGTATGTCAACATGAACTGATGTACTTATGTACAAAGTTCTACGTTCCATCTGACTGACTGAGATTGACATTAACACCGTTCGGATGTTGTCAGCTCAATGGTCTAGAGATTAAGCGTTTGCGTGTGAGACCAAAGGTCTTGGATTTGAATCCTGCGAGTATCAGGAGTCCAGGACGAGCATTGCCGAAAAGTCCCATACTACGACAAAACGGCCGTTCAATGGTTCTACATTTCTAATGGTATTCTAACAATGATTGATTCTCGATTCGAAAATAAAAGTAGAATAGTATGAGTACATAGAATATGGAGATGATATATAGACCCGTTTGATAAGATGTTGACAGAATTCAGTCTTCCAATCGCCTTACGTAACAGTGCTAGTATGTTTGGGATGCAATTATCTCCTTCGAAGAAAGGCACAGTATCGCTTCAGAACTGGTCCATGTCAACACCTGAATTAATGATAAGGAGTGAGAAGGTTGGACATGTAGATCGTTTCACTTCTTTTGGAAGCCTCATCAGCTGTAGTAAGTCAGTAACTGAGGTGATTTCGGCACGGATACACAAGGTTCAATCGGCTTTAGCCGACTAGCGTTACTTGTGGCGTAGGTGAGATCTCCATCCGCTAACTAAAGCATGAGTTTACTACACAGCAGTTCGATCAATTCTACTTCATAGGTGTAAAACATAGCCAGTAAGAAGAAAGGATATTCGCCAGTTATTGGTATTCATTCGATCAATAGGTGCCTTCGAAATATTGTTCAAGTAAACAATATGTATTACGGGGTTGTGAAGATTGTTAAGTTACACATTTTTGAAACCATGAATCGATCAATGTTAGACTACCATTAGAAACCTGGAAGTACTAGACGGCCGTTTCGTCCTGGTATGGAACTCCTCAGCAGTGCGCATCCACGACTTCTGCACCCTGCAGATACCGGCTCAGTGGTCTAACGGTTAGGGCGTTCACGCACAGTACCGAAGGTCCTGGGTTCGGATCCTGCGGGGTGCAGGAGTCGTGGATGCGCACTGCTGAGGAGTCCCATACCAAGGTGAAACAGTCGTCCAGTGCTTCCAGGTTTCTAATGACGGTCTAACATTGATAGATTCATGGTTTCAAAAATGTGTAAACAATATGTGTGGGTTAGGCATAAGGTACTAAATATCAATTGATGAGGTAATGAAATTTTCATTAGTGATTAAAACTGATTAAAACATGTACTACGGATATAATAATGTACAACCATTATTCATCTTGATAAATAATAAATATTGTCTGGTTTAAGAATAAGACTTAAAAAGGAATGACCTTTCATTTGTCTAGCATAAACAATGAACTCTTATTAAGGCACAAATTAGTAATCAACCATTGTATAGGAGTCTATCATTTACACTAATAACAATAATAATCATAATAAATTGTGATTAATTGATTAATTTGAATAAAACAAAACACAGACACACACACACTGGAGAATACCAATCCTATATATGTGTGTGTGTATGTCTGTGTCGTTTGCACTGCTGTAATGTGCATTAAACTGTGTTTTATGACACACACACACAAGTAGTGAAAGTTAGAGAGATAGAGAGTGAATGAGAGAACAAAGACAAAATCTCAAATTGGTTGATTAGTCAGCTTCATTCGGTAATCTAATCTTAATATGGGTTCTACACTACTGGTTGAAGCCAATACATTCATGTTGAACCAATATTGTTATCAAAATATATCTATAAGATATATAGATATATATATATTGGATTAATGTAACAGAGTTGTTCAGTCAGTAGGCTATACATGTACGTACATATACATATAAACTTCTATGCATGTCTGTAGATAACCTTTCAACAAGCAATAAACATGATTATCAAATAAGGCAACTGTTGGCAATCATCATTAATAACATTAATAACATTATCAACTGAAATTGGTCATAATTACAATTGATGTATAAAACAGGAGAAGTGAAAAACAGCAGCAACAAACATTAGAAATTAAAATCTATTAAACAATAGAGGTAGAGAACAACAAAATAAGCCAACAACAACAAAAAAATAAAAAGAGAGAAGTGAACGAAGTGAAGCATTACAGTATTAGTGTGTGTGTGTGTGTATGCAAGTATCTAGGTCAAAAAGTAAACATGATTTGATAGAATGATAGACAGACAAAGAGATCGATCGATATATGTGATGAATTGTTTGAATGAGTGCCTAAAGTTGAATGCGATGTAATAATTGTTATATAGAAGTCAGTCAATCAGCCGGCTACTACGTAGAACTTGATACTTTCGTATATCAGTTCAAGTTGCCATACCACATTAGTACACAGACAACGAATTGTCAATTCAAATCTCATAGTCGTAGAGGTCGTAGCAGTATTAGCGGTGATGGAGAAGATTAGTGATCGAAGGCATTATTCAACAAGTATAATATAATAGTGAGATGAACTTAAAAACAGAAAGATGGAGGTGATGAAGAATCCAGAAGACAAAGAACAAGCCCACCTGCGCCATCGCAAACGATTTTCAGCCATGTGATTCAAGGTTCCTAACCATCGTTTACTGTTGTCTCGCGGACCCCAACCAGGTAGTCTAAGCCTACGCAAACATGGCCCAGTTCACTTGTTAGTGACTTCATGGATTTGTGCCATATTTTGGTTTGGCCGCCCCGAGCTTCCTTCTACTCTACTTCTACACCACAAAACATAGCTTGTCGAGGAAGTCGGTGGTCGAGAATTCTTAACGCATGTCCCAACTACCTCAATTGATGAAGTTTCACCAATTCATCCTTCCCTATTACTCGTTCCCTAACATTAGAAATGCTTCGAAGACACCTATGATCGAAAACCATTAACCTACGAATATCTTCTACTCTAATTGACCACGTTTCATAGCCATAAAAGTAGAACAAAGCGAACTGCTGTGCAGTAGACTACTCCTTTGTTGAGTAGACGGATATCTTGCCTAGGATATAATAAGTGATTCAAAAGCCAATCGAGCCTTCCTATTATACATAGAAGTATAACTGTTTATTAAGTTAATCCAGAGACTGAAACAGTTTTAGTCATATGAATTCAACCGGAAAACGGAAAGAGTAATTAAATTATTAACTCAATAAATTAACTATATATATATATATATATTTTTTTCTGGTTATGACAGTTCAAGCCAAAAAAAATCGTGAATCGTGTCAATGTCAAGTACTATTCAGTTACATTTTTTATTCCAAAACCTAATTACTGATTCGTGCATAAGCAAACTTTAAAAATCAACGCATTCAAGCGTATCATTATTTTTGATCTAGTCTTAGGATTGATTAAATTACTCGTCTATTGTATTGTATTAGTCTCCTCGCTTAAATCGTATCATATCCGGTCTTGCTAAATTACATACGCACATACACACATACATACTACTGAAATAAGTAGGACAAACGAAAATGAAAAAAAAAACATTCAAAATGAAAGAAAGATTTAGGATGGAATGAAAAACACTGAATAATAAAAAAATTGTAGAATGTCTACAAAAAGACTTTAATTAGTTCATTTACTATATATAGAAAGAGGACAAACACTGAATAGTTTTACAACGAACGAACGAACGAACGACCTTAAATAGTTTTAAACTTGTTAAACTACTGATTATTACTTGAATTACGATCACCGAAAACAAAAAAAAATTGTTCAGATATGCTAAGAAAAAAAGATCTCAATTAACTTCTCATTTTCAACCTTCATTTTTTTTCCATCACCGATTAGAGTTTGTGTGTGTTATGTACAGTTCATTGTGCTCATTTGGTAAACATTAAAACAAATTTTTAAAATTTTCTGGTAAAAATAGAAAGTATTGTAGGCGAATGCCTGCCTAACCATCAGACCACTGAGCCGGCAGTATCTAACGGTGTTAGATGTCTAACTTGATCAATTCACGGAGTTGCGCAACCTCATTCACACAGTCTTCGGTGATGACTGCTTCACACCTGAACAAGGGTTGAACTTCACTGGTCACGTCATCCCACTAGAACTCGGAGAAGATTCCTCGCGAAGCTAGTCACTAGTGAGCATAGGGTCATTTGCATTACGGGGTGGTGAAGACTGTTAAGTCTAACGGTTAGGGCGTTCGCGCACAATACCGAAGGTCCTGGGTTCGGATTTGGCGGGGTGCAGGAGTCGTGGATGCGCACTGCCACTGATGAGTAGTCCCATACCAGGACGAAACGGCCGTCTTTCAGTGCTTCCAGGTTTCTAATAGTGGTGGTCTAACATTATTGATCGATTCATGGTTTCAAAAAACTGTGTCACTTCACAATCTTCACAACCCCATAATGAAAAATAGAAAGTACAATCAAATCAAATCTTAATTCAATTAAAAATAATAAATAAACAAACATTTTATTTTCAACAACATACTCTAAATCTGATTCTTTGCTCATTTGTAATGTAAATATTAACTGGCTTTCATCAGATTTCATATCCAACTTTTGTTTTCTTAATCTTTCACGACGAGATGAATTATTTGCTTTGAAATTCACTACATCTTCAATTGGGAATTCTTTTCTTTCATCGTTACGAATTGGTTTTTTCTCTGACAACTCATTCATATAATGATGATCACTAACAGTCTCATCACTACCACCACCATTAATCGGATCAACATCACCATGATCAATATTATTCATTGTATTGTCATCAGTAGTATCAGTAGTATTGCCATTCTCATCGACTGATGGTATAATAGTCCATTCTAATCGTACACTATTTGATGTTAAATTTGTATATTGATTAAATACGGGAGGTTTAGGCAATGGATCAAGTGTAGTGAATTCAATATTAGCGGAATATTCACTTGGACCAAATTTATTCACTGCTTGAATACGTAATCTTAAATAGATAAGAAATAATAAAGAAAAAAATAATAATAAAAACATTTTTGATATTAAGAAATAAATGATGATGATAGACAATAGTTTCAGCTTAGTATGAGATCCCTCAGTAGCGAACATCTACGACCATTCCATAAAGAATTAAAGTCAGGATCCTGTGGTGTGCAGTAATATGTCGAGCTTACATGGCTTGTCTCAGACTTTAAACAAACTAATTAGCCCAATCTCCTACGGTTATGATTCACATGTCTTGTGACTTCGTCTGTTATTCACTTGGTTGTTCTTATCTGTATGCGTGTGTGTTTTGCTTGCTTCACTTATCACGTTTAAGTTTTGTTTGAATACGAACCATTAAGTCAAGCCTTATCACATTGATTTGGCCCATTCGCCTTCTCCTTTATACTTTGTTTCGTTTCACTTTTACGCTTCTCTTTTTTATGTCTGTATGCTTACGAGAATGTATGAAATGAGCTCAACTGAAATAAACCGTACGGGCCTTTGAATCACCTTCGTCGAACAAACGGTAGTGTGCGGAAAGCCCTCAACCTTTAGACTACTGATTGTACATGTCTAATTTCAGTTAAATCTTAATATTGTGCAACTATCAGCTATTACCAAATGTGATAGTTATTTTATTCCCGACACGAATCAACTCTACTGCTCATAGTTTCTCAGTAGGGTTTCGTCAATTACCTTTCAGAATTAACCACCAGGTATAAATAACAATCATGTATTCAGTAGTAAATAATTTAGAAAGTTAAGTCTCAGAATCCTAGTGCGAAATTGTGTTTTGCAGAGTTGGCCAATGTTAAGTGTGAAGGACTACACACAAAAGTGATGGCTTCTCAATATAAAAAAAACTGATTGACATTAAAAATGTATACCATCCGGTGCTAAAAAATGGTTTAAAATTGAAGTTCTTGACGTGGGAGCATAATGTCTTGCCTTTGATCATTAACGGAGTTGTGAATAAATACTATTAAAAGAGTTCCATCTTAGCACGAAACAATTATTCGACTAAGGTTAATCCATGATATAAACTGTGTTAATAGTTAATAATCATTATTAATATAGAGAGCATAATAATCGGAATTCTTAGTGTTAAGATATTCATCCAATATCCTAAGAGAATTATTGGTTAATTTCTACTCGTCAATTTTATGGTCGTCCTAGATATCAATGTCACATGCACCAATGTTGTTTCTTATTGGTTGTCCTGACTATCAATGTCACTTCAAATGTTACTTCCTATTGGTCGGCCTAACTGTCAATGTCACAGACTTCGATGCTGTTTCCTATTCGACCAAAATGTATAAATACGCATTATCTGAAACGTTTTATGACCACGACCAGGACCAGGACCCGGTCCCGGATCCCTAGTCCGGGATCCTGATTCTCTTCTGGATTCGGACCTCGTACTTTCTGGATGCTTGTAGAATACAGGTTCTACTTCATATCAAGTCTTGTCTTATTTTTACTCAATATGGGGGTTGGGAGTAGCTTGTCGTGTCGCCGGATCCTCGATCCTTGCTCTCGTTTTCCGGCTAGGTAAACTCGAAATAGTTCAAGTATATCAAGTTGACGTGTTTACGTGCAGGCGTAACACTTAGTTATGATCAAATGTTTATGTCACTGAGAATCAGAAGAATTTGAAAAATACCGAAACAGTCATTTGTAATCATAAAGTACAATATCATAAAAAATGTAATTTGAAGTGAACTAACTATAAAACATATATTTCGGTAAAACGTTCAGTGTAACTCAAGAAAAGATTGTCAGAAATTCATTCATTCATTCAGTCAGTCAGTCAGTTGCAACGTAGAACTTTGTACGTAAGTACATCAGTTCATGTCGCCATACCACATCAGCACAGAGATGTAATTGTCAATTCAAATCCAATAGTAGAAGAGTTAGTAAGGGTATTAGAAGTAATCGGAAAGGTTAGGATTAGAAGATATTATTCAAGAAGTATGATTAAATGAGAAAAGTTTAGAAAGTCAAAACTAGAGGTGTTGAAGAATACAGAAGGTTAGCATTTGAGAGAACACAAAGAATAAATGCACCGTCGCCATTGCGAACGATTTTGAGCCATGTCATTCAGAGTCTCTAATCATCGATTATTATCATCTCGCGGACCCCAACCAGGTAGTCGACAATTACCGACATGGCTAAGTCCACTCGTCAATAACTTCATGGATTTCTGCCATGTTTTGGTTTGGCCGCCCCTAACTTTCTTACAACCTATTCCTACACTACAAAACAAAGTTCGTCGAGGCAGTCGGTGGTTGGGCATACGCAACACCACCACGTCAAGGTAGCAGCTACGGTCGGGATCAGAAATTCATTAAGTGTGTAGGTTGATTTTAAAGAGACAACGAAATCAAGTAAACACTCCGAATGGGGTTAACCGGTTTAGTGGTGACCATCAAAACTCTATGTATGATGTAAAGCTTTGAACACTATCAAGTTTCTGTGTCAATGGAAACATTAGATGCGTATGATCTCAAGTGTTTTCCGAAAGTTATAGAACTGTCCGAATAGTTGTTGATGACATGCACTTGGAACGCGATGGAGGTGACAAGATATGAAACGATAAGATAGTTCAAGAAAAAGTAACTTCTAACGAATTTCAGGGTTATTTCAAACAGCAGAAAAGAAGACTGTTCAAGTGTACAGTCATAAATGAACAGTTTATTTAAAAATCTTTACTTTAAGACATTTTAAAATATTCAAAATAAACTTTTTATATCGACATATTTTTATTCAATAGATTGCTTACATAATCAGAAATGATGCTATATAATGTTACTAATTTAAATCAAGTTTTACGTTAGTCTCGGTGTACATATGAATCTAGATATATAAAATATACTTATCACTAGTTAATAACATATAAAACAAACACAAAGATATGAAGAAAAGTGAGATGAAAAAGTCAAAAAGAAATTGGACAATCCATCGAATTCATCATGTAATCTCACTGGGATAAGTCAATATTTTCTATCAAAGTTAGAATCATTTTTATTCAGACTGGTGATACTGATGTAGTAAAAATGAATTATTATTATTATTATTATTATTGTTAATACTGGTTGGTGGCCTGCGCTCCACTGGGGGTAACAGTCGTAAGTAAAAAAGCAAGTAAGTAAGTAAGTTATCATTGTTAACAACGGGAGGGAGTAACTATGACTCTCTTAAGGTAGCCAAATGCCTCTTCATCTAATTGAATGGGTATATTAGGTGACGTGCATAAATGGAGCCTTTTGGGGGTTGCGGTGGCGGCAACCTCTTCATGGTCCTGCCAGGCAACGTGGCGTTGTTTACAACGCTGCGGCTAAAAGCCGTCCTGAACGCTTAGGATACCGTGACTAGCATGGTCCAGAATAATGGTACGTTTTCAAGGTCGCAAGGCCGTGGATGCGGTTTTGCCACTCTGGGGGATTAGGATCGAACGTCTTTAAGTCTGAATCCTGTCCACTGAGCGTGAGTAAATTTGAAATGATTGGATATAGCTTTCCAAGGTGCTTGAAGGCGGCCCTAGACGATTTGTTTGGGTAAGCAGCCGTAAAGATCCTGGACTATTGACGACGACCCTATGTAGCTGCCCTAAACACTCTGAATCTCGGTCTAGCGTGCCAACTGGCATCAAGGCCTCTTAAACAAGGGTCTCCAGTTGGGTTATGTAATCCAGTACTGAAAGGGTACTGAACACCAATGATGTCTGTCCACCTACGTAGTGGGATTAACCCTGCCTGGCTGAGTGCTTGCGCTTGGTCGATTTCATGACATCTACCCCATGGGACGGTGTACGTTCCGGGTGACCTTATGGGACAAACTCGATCTTTATGTGAGGGTTGGGGGCTCCGACCGATTGTATGAGCGCAAGGCATTTGGAGGCCAGGCGGTTGGAACGGCTGCTGGTTAGTGCACTGCTGGGTGACTCGGTTATCCGTTTCGGGGTTTCAGGTCTAGCTTTGAAAGCACGCCTTACTGCTCTTGCCGATTGGGGATTTTGGGTAGTGGATTGGTTGAAGGGATCGAGTTGATTCATAAGTGCCCAAACGAAGGCCACTGCTCGCGTGTGTACGTTTTGGACGTCTACTTGTCTGCAGACCAATCTAGACAATATGTGCGTTTCCGTATGGGGCAGAGGTTAATCGCGAAATTGGCTTTTGTGAGATTCCTTGTGTTGCCTAAAAAGCAGCAGCGTACATGTGCAGCAGGCTTGTTGGTTAACCAAGAATATATTTATCATTAATGACAACAACAATAACAGACAATAATCATTTCCATGGGTTATATCTCATCATGCATTGATCTTGGTTAAATAAGTATTTAAAAGTAAAAAGCGCTAGGGAGCTATTTTCCGCTAGTATCGAACTTTTCAACAATGCGTGATATCCCCAGTGGGAATAGAACTCAGTATCTTCAGTCTTACGATAAACGCTTCACCTTTAGATCACTGAGTCGATATTCAATGTGCGAATTGTCCAACTTCAATCATTTCTCCATAGTGTTTGTCTATCTCACACCAGACATGGCTGAACTTCACTTGATCATGGCTTTTCACTAGAATTCCAGGAAACAGTGTCTTAATATTAATCACTAATGTGTACTTGATTATTATCGTTATTACTACAAGAGGTTTGCAGAGACTGTTTAATTTTCAAAAATTACACTGACTGCTAAAGAGTCTCATACAAGGACTGAACAAATGTCTAACTAAGATCAGTATGTGACATAATCCTATGAAGATTCAACAATCTCCAAAAACCTTCTATGGCGGTAATCATTATCGTTTCACCGATTAACAACAATGAAATAAACAAACGCTACTACTAATCTTGTTTAGAAATAAGCAGATCTAACTTATAAACAATAAATCATAGTTGATCACTTGGAAAATTATCAGCTAACCATTCAATATGAATTGTTAAGCTTGTCAATAATCTTATTTTATATAGATCAATCTTTATTGAATATAGTTTAGAAATGTTGATGATTGATGAGTCAATGTGTAGTGAAGGAGAACACAAGTGAGGGCA